CCAGGGGCAGCAGCAACGGGTTTACCTTCGTCGCGATCATCATCATCATCATCATCATCATCATCATCATCATCATCATCATCATCATCATCATCATCATCATCATCATCATCATCATAATCATCATCACCATCACCATCATCATCATCATCATCATCATCATCATCATCATCATCATCATCATCACCATCATCATCATCATCATCATCATCATCATCATCGTCATCATCATCATCATCGTCATCATCAGCATCAGCATCAGCATCAGCATCATCATCATCATCGTCATCATCATCATCATCATCCTCATCCTCATCATCATCATCATCATCATCATCATCCTCATCCTCATCCTCATCCTCATCAGCAGCAGCATCATCAGCATCACCATCCGTCATCAGCATCATCACCATCAGCATCATCAGCAGCAGCAGCATCATCATCATCGCCATCGTCATCGTCATCATTAGCATCAAAATCAACATCAGCATCACCATCAACATCATCATCATCATCATCATCATCATCATCATCATCATCATCATCATCATCAACCATCATCATCAGCATCAACAACATCATCATCACCATCATCAGCATCACGGACGAGTTCGTCAGCGCCAGCGACGGCACGACGGGCGAGAACATCACCAGCGACGGCGCGATCTGCATGTTGAACCGCGGGCGCTGCGTCGGCGTCATGACGAGCATGTCCATCAGCACCCGCGACGGCACGAAGGACGAACTCATCATCAGTGACGGCATGATCCGTATGAAGAGCTGCGCCAGAGCCAGGACGAACGAGTGCGTCAGCACCAGCGGCGGCGGCATGGCGAGGGCATCACAAGCGACGGCGCGATCGTGTCGGGGATGGACAGACCCCCCTTTAGCAAAACGTGGTTTAGTGAAAACGACCCGAGGCCCAAACCTGGCGGGCGCAATCCTGGAAAATGACGGCCACGGCGCCCCCTCGAGAACCGAAAACGGACAATTCACTAATCGACGTGTCACTGTTGGGGGTTCTGTCCACCCCCGATCGTTGTTACAGGGGCGCTGCAGCGTTATGACGAACGGGCTCAGCAGCATCGGCGACAGCGCGAGGGTCGGGTGCGGCAGCGAGGGGCACGATCCTGTGGGTGAGTATGTCCATTGCCACGGAGGGGGAGCACATCGCCAGCGGAGGCACGATCATGAGGAGGAACTGCACCAGCGTCGCGACGAGCGAATCCATTAGCATCTGCAGGCGCCGCTTCCTCGTCGGACAACTCACTCTCCGTGGACAGGTCGGGTTCGAACACGCAGTCGCACCACGCGTCGAAGCAGCGGATGAAGGGCCTGTTCAGGGCTAGCTACCGACGCCATGCCTCATGCCACCACTCTCGGAGGAGAATGCGAAGGGCAGCAAGACCGTCGCTAGCAACACGAGGACGGGCTTCATCACCATCGGCGGGACTATCTTTGCATTGAGCAGCGCCAGCGTCATGGCGAACGAACTCATCAGCGCCATCGGCAGCGCGACGGGCGAGAACGTCGGCAGCGACGGCACGATCTGACTGGTGAAGAGCATCAGCGCCACGACGAACGAGTACATCAGCACCTGCGACGGCGCGAAGTGCGAGGTCGGCGCCAGCGACGACACAAACTCCAAGAAGCGGATCATCACGAGTCTCATCATGCACAAGGCCATGCAAATGGCCACTACGCGCTCCATGATCGGCATGCTTGGCAGACCCAGTCGACGCGGCAGTCCACCGAAGGGGACAGAGCGGACGAAGCCCTTGCCGATCGGGACCCACATGGCATCCTCGAAGCTCTCCTCACGAAGACGTTCACCAGCCACGGCCGCAATGGGGGAAGGATGGAACCCGCAAGCGGGTGGCTCCCTTCTCGTGGGTTCGACACTGGACTCGCCACCAGCGGCAGCGTCAGGATCAGCGGCAACGGCACCACCGGGCGCCGTGGTATCGCGTGCAGCGTGCAGATGGTCATGCAAGAGGGCACCACGCAGAAGAGGATATTGGGTATTGGGTATTGCTGTGGAGAAGAGCGCCAGAAGCAAGCAGCTTCGTACACTCCAGCGGATACTCCTCGAGCACCGTGAGAGTGAGCGCGTGCGGCATCAGCTACCTCAGAGGCAGGTTCTACGACGCCGGCGGCGAGCCGAGGAGGAGGCCCAGCGCTATGTTGCAGGGGCCACCATCAACAGCGGCAGGACGAGGAGCGGCGCAACGACAGGGCCGCCATCCACACGAGGCGGACGGAAAACATGCCCATCAGCATCAGCTCCCCCGTGCAGCAGTTCATGCACTGGAGCGCCACGGGCACCAGCAGCCAGGCGTCGGCATCAAGGGGAGTGGACCAGCGTCGGCATCAAGGGGCACACGATCGTAGGGTGGCAGCCTCAGCACCAGCACCATTCCTTGACGACGTCGCCGAGGACACAGCTTGACGACGTCGTCGAGGACACAGCTGGTGGAGGAAGCGGCCCTGATCCCACGGCGGGTGGCTGATGTGGGCCAGCGAGGTGAGGATCACAAAGCTGGCGAATGAAAGCCGCCACTGGCAGCAGCTCCGCACTCGAGCAGAAGCCCATGGGGTAGACCGGCGGCGCCCCTGCAAGCCCGCCTCCAGGAGCACGATCAGCAGCAGGAGGCACAAGAAAATGACGCTGAAGAGCGTGGCGAGCGCCGCGACGGAGGGCTCCCTGGTGGCGAGCCTGACCGCGTTGGAGGCCACGTGCGCGTCGGATGTAAACAGGCGCCGGTGAGCGCACGCGCGGCATGAGGACGGAGACCGCCAGCGTCAGAAGCACCTGCAGCTGCTGCGAACGAGAGAGCCTCCGTTTGGCGAATGCGTATGGAAGTGCGGCCAAGGACACAAGAGGCGAATGCCCTGGAGGAAAAAGGCAATGAAAGACATTTCGGCCCAAGTGGGAAGTATCCCACTTTAGACAAACTTGCTACGGAAGGAGGGAGGAGGAGAATGAGGAGGAGGAGGAGGGAGGAGGAGGAGGAGGAGAAGGGACGAGGAGGAGGAGGAGGAGGACGAGGAAGGAGGAGGAGGAGGAGGAGGAGGAGGGAGGGAGAAGGGAGGCAGGAGGGAGGAGGGAGGAGGGAGGAGGGAGGAGGAAGAGGAGGAGGAAGACCAGTGTAAACCCAAGAGGCATCAACGATGTTGGAATAAACCCTCCCTCCAAGCTCCCTCTTCATAAGCCCCACAACACTCCATTTCCATTGAGGGAACTGCCTCGTGAGAAGACAACCGTTTGAAGAGCCTGCAGCATGCCAAAATATTGTTCCCGGGATTCTAACGCCACGGATCAACCTGATTGCTGCGTGTCGGCGATCCAAGAGCCGCGCCAGAACGCCAGTCCTGGGACTTCAACACAGCCAATCATCGTAACTGTTGCACCCGCGTAATCCTGAACCCGTTCAAAACACCATGTCTGGTACGGTGATGATGGGAACCCATGAAACTCTTGCAACTGTTTAAAACGAATATGCGCCGCGCTACGGCGAGAGCCACAATTTGAAAACCACCCGCCCTCAATCCGTGAAACTCCTGTGAAATCTTCAAAACGCATGAGCGCCGCGCTGAGAACCACATTCCGAAAACGACCCCCTCAAGCCGTGAAACGCCTGCAAATGTTTAACACGAATGTGCGCCACACCAAGGTCAGAGCCGCCTCTTGAAAACCATCCGTCCACAATCCGTGAAGCTGTTGCAAACCTTTATGAACGAATGTGCGCCGCGCTAAGGCGAGAACCACATATTGAAAGACACCCGCCGTCAACCCGTGAAACTCTTGCAACTGTTTAAAATGAGTGAACGCCGCGCTAAGGCGAGAGCCACAATCTGAAAACCACCCGCCCCCAATCCGTGAAGCTCTTGCAACGTTATATATATAATATAATTATAAAAAACGGATGTGCGCCGCGCTAAGGCGAGAGCCACAATTTGAAACCCGCCCGCCCTCCATCTGTGAAACTGTTGCCAATGTTTACGCTTTAGAATCATAAATGGTGAGGAAGTCTCAGGCGAAACGCCCGACCAACAATAAAACCTGGCCTGGGGGTGCGACAAGGGAAACATACGGATACGGAAAGGAACGGACGGGGATGAGAAAGGAGGAACGAGAGAAGAGAGGAGGAGAGAGGAGGAGAGAGGAGGAGAGAGGAGGAGGAAGAGGAGGAGAGAGGAGGAGGAGCAGCAGCAGCAGCAGGAGAAGGAATGAGGAATGAGGAAGGAGGAGGGAGGAGGGAGGAGGAAGGAGAGAGAAGGGGGGACGAAGGAAGAGGGAGGAGGACGGCGGAGGGATGATGCAGGAGGAAGGAGTGAGGAGGGAGGCGAACGGAGGGAGGATGGCGGAGGAAGGAGGCAGGAGGCAGGAGGGACGAGGGAGGAGGGAGCAGGGAGGAGGGAGGAGGCAGACGGAAGAAGGAAGAAGGAGGCAAGAGGAGGGAGGAGGTAGGAGAAAGGAGGGAGGGGGGGAGAAAGGTGGGATGGGGGAGGAGTTATGAGAGGGGGGCTGAGTGTGGAGAGGAGGAGGAGGAGGAGCGAGGAGGAGGAGGAGGAGGAGGAGGAGGAGTGAGGAGGAGTGAGGAGGGAGGAGGAGAAAGGATGAGACAGGAGAAGAGAGGAGGAGAGAGGACAAGGAGGAGGAGCAGGAGGAGACGGAGGAGGAGCAGCCGCAGCAGGAGCAGGAGCAGGATGAGGAGGAAGGAAGGAGGAGGAGGAGG